TCTCATCTTTTATCCTCTGTCAAAGAAGTCGAGCTTCAACTTCAAGCCGAAGCAGTGAAGGCAACATGCCAAAAGCACATGGTCTTGGATGAGACTGATTCTCCTTGTGGTTTAGTTCAGTCACTTGCCATGTCTGCAGCGGCCATTCCAGACCTATTCCAGTTGGAAGACAATAGTGACAGTTTCTTTGCTGTGCCCAAGTATAACCATGCTGACCTTGTCTCCTTGCAGAGGAAAGATCCAACCATTGGCCGAGTCATTCAGCTGCTTATGACTGACAATAAACCGCCAACTGATACTATTGCAGAACCCCCGGTGGTTCTTAACCTTTTGAGAGAGTGGAAACGGTTTGAGTTTCAAAATGATTTACTGTACCGGAGACGCCAATTAGGACCAGAGACATCATTGCAGTTAGTCTTGCCTGATTCATTACGTTCAACAGTCATGCAAAGCCTACATGATGATATGGGGCATCTTGGGGTTGAACGTACGACAGATCTCATTCGGTCCCGTTTTTACTGGCCAAAAATGGCTAGTGATATCGAAATCAAAGTTAAAACTTGCGAAAGATGTATCCGTCGGAAGGCCCTCCCTGACAAAGCTGCTCCAATGGTGAGTATTACCACCACCAGACCTATGGAGTTAGTTTGCATGGATTTTCTCTCCATAGAACCAGACAGTAAGAACACTAAAGATGTCTTAGTGATTACAGACCATTTTACAAAGTATGCAGTGTCCATCCCAACCAAAGATCAGAAAGCCACCACCGTCGCGAAGAACCTGTGGGAACATTTTTTAGTCCACTACGGGTTTCCTGAGCGTCTTCATAGTGATCAGGGACGGGATTTCGAATCACGTACAATCAAGGAACTTTGTTCTTTACTTGGTATCCGTAAAGTCAGAACGAGCCCTTATCACCCTCGTGGCAACCCCGTTGAACGGTACAATCGTACATTACTCAGCATGTTGGGAACATTACAAGCCACTGAGAAACATCACTGGCGCGATTTTGTAAAACCACTTACTCACTCGTACAATTGTACAAAAAATGACGTGACGGGATACTCTCCCTACGAGCTAATGTTCGGTAGGCAGCCTCGGTTGCCTATAGATATTGCCTTTGGGTTACCGCATTTGAACAAGCCCTCTATAACTCATTCTCAGTATGTTAAAGAACTGAAGAGTCATCTGGAACAGAGTTATGACATTGTCATAAAAAACTCTCAAAAAACAGCGAGGAAGAACAAAGAACGGTTCGACAGAAACATTCGTGAGTCCACACTAGGTGTGGGAGATCGTGTTTTAGTCCGAAATCTTCGCTTAAGAGAAAAGCATAAATTAGCAGACAAATGGGAGCAAACAGTGTATATAGTTCTCAAACAGATGGAAAACTTGCCAGTATACACTGTAAAACCAGAGAACGGAGAAGGACCCAACAGAACACTCCACAGAGATCTTTTACTGCCTTGTGGTTTTCTCTCTTCATTAGAAAATGAAACAGAACGCGTTACGAAACCTAGCAGACCTCATACAAGACAGAGTTCAGCCTTAGAACCTGACCCAGATGAGCCACTTGACGAAGAGGTAGATGAGTTTTATTACTCTGATCTTCCACAAGTGCTAAACCGACCATCCTATCAAATAGAGGTCACCTTGCCAAATAGGGAACTCATAGCAGATTCAGGACCGGTAAATAATATTCAACAACAAAACACACTATCCTTACACACAGGGGATCGCAAGGAACCAACCTTAGCTGGTAATGAAAATGCTGAATTGTCCTTACTTGACAAAGGCATCAACACCGAAACATTCTTACCTGAAAGAGTGAAAGAAGCAGCAACATACTTACCTGAAAAAACGAAAAAAAACGAAGTATACTTACCTGACGTAGAAACGGGGGATGAAACTAACACAAACCTACCTCAATTGGATGGTGTCCTAAAGTCGCAGCAACGTGATGTAAGTTTTGAACCCATCATACACGATCAGACACATACATCTGAAAAGACCAAAGTCTTAGAGAATAGCTCATCAGCTCTGTCGGAAAAAGAGAGCTCACTTCGTCCTGTCTCAGTTGAGAATCAAACCGAAACGGATGAGCATGATACTGTGCAACCAGAGATGTATGTCAGGAGATCTGAACGAAGTAGTCAGCCTCCTCAAAGACTAACTTACTCTCAATTGGGAAATCCACTAGTGACCGTAGTTAGGTCCCTTTTCCAAGGACTTAATAAAGCTTTTATTGACTCTCTTACTCAAGAAGTTGTGTACCCCGTAGAAACAATGCACAGGGACGTGCATGATATTTAATGGGGGAGGATGTAACCCAGAAGCTAGAACCTTAATGAGGTATTAACTAATTGGCTTACTAATATGATCCATCCTCAATTTAGATAAAATATAAAATATAAATTAAGGAAATTAACAATACTAATTAATAGATATCTAATTAACTAATAGATAATTTCATAATGAATTATTGGAAGGGTGAATAACTAAAATAACGAGTTTAATATTAAACATCGGTTAAAACAAGAATCTTGAACATCACTAACAGAAACAGAAGAGGAAAGCTGTATACTATTGGTCCAGGTGGGAATCTGAAATTTCATTGGCTGAGAGAAATAAGTCCCGCCTCCGCGAAATAAAACCGTGCGACGCAGCTGAGCGAGAGGAGAGACAAACGGCTGTGCAGCACGCAGATACAGAAAGCAAAGACTGAGCGGTTAGAGAGAGAGAGAGAAAAAAAAAACAACGGTCGAGGCCGTGAAGAACCCTGATTTGGGTGCCGCATAGATAGAGGGAGAGGCGGACTTGACTCCTTCTAATAAGAGCTAGGAACTTGGAACCAACGCGATTTGTGTGGAGACGACAGAGTGAACCAATCCTCTGTAGGAGGGAACCGTTGGAGCGCGTTGGCTGGGGTTTTTTTTTTTTTCCTTGGGTTTGATCCCGACTCCTATGATCACTCACTTGGAACGAGAACTGGATTTCTTCCTGACGAGGGAGATGGCGAGCCTTAACCACTGAACGAACCAGGACATCTCAAGTAACTGAAGAGCAGACTGCTCTCTTCTGTGAACAATCTCAACGGTGTGGTAGGAAAAAATCGCACCACCGGACTCTGACTTTCACCCCAAGCGTGGGGATTTGACTTGACGCCGGCTGACTTGTGACTCATATGATCAAATCTCATACCGACCATTTTACTATTGTCGATTGTTTTCATCTGTTTTTGTGTGTTATCTTTATGTGTTATATTTCCCATTATTATTAAAATTTAGTATATAAACCGTTTCAGGCTATACCCGTGACTCCAGTCATTCTTAAACAACCTCCAATTCTCCCCGAACCTAATTATTGGCCCATTTGTTTATTTTTTCTTTTAATTATCTTATTGTATCCTGTAATCCGGTTACACAAACGCTGGTTTTAGAAACAGAAACAGAAACTGACCATTGGGTTTTCCTCATGGTTTCTCTATTATTGACCAAATGTCTCAAACAGATCACTAAAACCTCCCTAAGGTTGCCACCAGTGACCCTGACTTTGGCTTTAAATGCTCATACTGTCAGCCGGAGGGTGGAACAGGTGATGTGTCCTACAGGAAGCAGCAGCTTTCCTTATGGCAGCATATGGCGGGGTATGAGGGCCAAAATTAAGACTAATGCCCAGCAGCAGGAGGCTATATAAATTCTGAAGCAAACTACCCACGTGATTAATGATAAGCTGGCGCCGGTAACTGAGAGGCTGGCGCTGCTTACTGAAAAATAGCACCTTTACCGGCGTTACTACTAGATACGCTAGGGACTAGTAGCCCTTGGCTGGTCATTGACTGGTTCACACACTCCCTCTGCTATCTATTAGCGTGGATAGGCTAGCGTTAGCCTGGATGGGCTGGTGTTAGCATTGGAGGGGCTAGCCATTAGCGTGCCTAGGCTGGCCACTAGCTGGATTTCCTACCCCCTTGACGGACCATTAGCATGGATAGGCTGGCGTTAGCATCGGAGAGCCTAGCCATTAGCATGCCTAGGCTGGCCACTAGCTGACTTGTGACTCTCCGAGACATGCTAATGGCTAGCCTCTCCGATGCTAATGCCAGCCTATCCATGCCTAAGGTCCGCCAAGGGGGTAGGAAATCCAGCTAGTGGCCAGCCTACGTATGCTAATGGCTAGCCTCTCCAATGCTAACACCAGCCCTTCCAGACTAATGCTAGCCTATCCATGCTAATAGACAGCAGAGGGAGTGTTTGAACCAGTCAATGACCAGCCGAGGGCTGCTAGTCCCTAGCGTATAGTAATAACGCCGGTAAAGGTGCTATTCCTCAGTAAGCAGCGCCAGCCTCTCAGTTACCGACGCCAGCTTATCATTAATCAGATCAGTAGTTTGCTTCGGAATTTATATAGCCTCCTGCTGCTGGGCAGTAGTCTTAATGTTGGCCCCCATACCGCGCCATAGCAGCAGGACATGTCCAGTTCTTCTGAGGAGAGGACAACATGATGGTTGATCTGCTTCAGTCAGTCGCTTTAAACTTGAGCGAAACATTGAGTGGCTGTGTCCATCAAAACGAGCCAGTCGTGTAACTCACCATTTTCAGTTATTTTCTATTTTTAATAAAAAATGTACAAAAAAAAATCACTGTTCACCTTTTGGATTTGCTCTTGACTCCTTGAGACTCCTTCAGTTTTATTTTCCACCCCTGGTGTCGACCCAAGAACCTGAAGGTACAGGTGACAACTGCTCAGAAGTTCGGCATCACATCACTTGTTTTCCATGGAAACTCACGTGGAATAAATCTGAACTGGAAATGTTCAAATGAACAGCGCATGCAGACATGGTTGGAGTTCAAGTTTAAGATTTGAATGGAAGTCAATGATTTTTTCCCCCTTTCTTACCAGTGACAGCCATATAATTGACCAGACTGACCTTAACAGCCTGTGTGTGTGTGCATGTGTGTGTGTGTGTGTGTGTGTGTGTGTGTGTGTGTGTCCTAAAGAATCGAACATCTGAGCCTGAACATGGCCATGCAGCTGCTCGTGGGAGTCCCTCTTGAAATGGTCCACGGCGCCCTGAGGATTGGACTGGTCTACGTGTGTGGCGCGCTAGCAGGTGGGCGTGTGATTCCTTCTCTCACTGGTGCCAGATCAAACCTTTGTCTTTTCTGTTCTGCCGTTGTTCCATCTGCTCACTGCGTGTTTATATGATTCAGCAGCCCGTCAGGATGAGTCCTGTGTGTAGCTGGATACTTGTCGATGTGAAGTCTGCATGCGTGTGAGCGTGTCTGTGTGTGGCGAGTCGAGGACAAGTGGCTTTGTATCTCAGACATGGCGGGACGTCGGGGTCGTCAGCATATTGTTGCCTCCTGGCCTTTTACAGCAGAGCACTGCAGAGACATAAGGGGTCTATATGACGAATGGAGGAGAGGGGAGTTTAAATGTTCAAAAGGAAAATCTCGGGAGCAGAGGAGACGGGAGGAGGGGAGTGAGAAATGGAAGAAAGAAAGAAAAAGAGGAACAAGATGCAGCTGCAGAAATAAATGATCAGCACCTTTGTTCAGCTAACACTTTACACGTGATCATGAATTCTGCTTATCTTTAATAAATCAGTAACAACTAATGAGAACTTCAATTCACGTTTATTTATAAAGCTCCGAATCCCGACGAGTCGTCTCAAGGATCTTCACGCAGTAAACATTCCAATACAGGTCAGTTCATTAAGCCAGTCAGTAAAAAGTTTCCTATATAAGGAACCCAGCAGGTTGCATCGAGTCACTGACTAGAATCACTGACTTGTGTCAGAGTCAATTCAGATGTCAGCATCTTCTTAAACCTCTTCTGATGCTGCAGAAATGGAGCGTGTAGCTTTTTAATCATTTTTCTGGATTTATGACTATATCTATATTTACGTGTGTGTGTGTGTGTGTGTGTGTGTGTGTGTGTGTGCGTGTGTGTGTGTGTGTGTGTGTGTGTGTGTGTGTGTGTGTGTGTGTGTGTGTGTGTTATAGACAGATACCAGCCAAAGTGACCTATAGTTTGAACCTCACTGTGAAATGAGGAGGAAACAGACCATAAATCAAACAATCTCATCAATGCACACAGACCAGAACACACACACACACACACACACACACACACAGAGGTCTGCTGTTTTAATAAGATATCGACCACCGGCGGAAGAAGGGATGTTCGGTCTGGTTGTGTTGGCTGCGGTGTTTGGGTTAGTGTCTCACGGGGTTTCTTTTTTACTCCAGGTGATTTTTATTATCACTAGAATCCACATTTCTCTCAGACGTTAGCTTAACACTAGCCTAGAAACCTAGACAGACAGTCGCCGAAGCAACAGCTATGCATTCTAGCCACTCCCCACAGGAACCTCAGCGTGTCTCTCATTGGCCCAGTCAGTTTGTGTCATGCCTCAGAACTCCAGTGGTCTACTGGTTTGGATGGCAGGATGATGCAACGGAGCACTACACGTTTTTACCTTTATAAAGCAATAATTTAAAATCATGTAACAGTTATATATTTATTACAATTCAGATCACCTCCAAAACCCAGTCCCACACCCAGGCCGTTTCAAGGCATGTGGGGGCCGAGGCAAAATAGACCCCTCCATCTCGCTAGGTTCCCCCGGAAGCCTCTGTGTAATTCATACTGGTCATTTGTACTGCTAAGAATACATATTATATCTTTATATCTCCTTACTAAACTCCTTATAATGAACAAATAAATGTTGGATTGTTAATCCTAATCACAAAGGATTGCTTCAGATATGTATTTTGTTTATGGCACAACGAGAGCAATGGCTGAGCTTCAGATGCCAAATATCATACTGAGATTTTATTAGAGTTTAGAGTTAAATGCATTTTTATTTTAGATTCAATTTTGGCTCCAAAAATCACAACAAAATGTAATTGGCTAAAATAATCATTGGAATTTTTATGTCACATTGCACTTTGCAAGCACATTTCTGTCTGCTAAGAAGGGTAAAGGAGACATGACTGTTTTAAAGAGGTTATAATAGTTCTATGGTCGACACAAAATATATAGATTAAGTTCTTTCTTTACACAAAATTCCTCTCACATAAAGCGATCTTGGCAGTTTTATTCTTGATGTTTTCAGTACCTTCCATAAAGAGCCATTTCGGGGCTCTTTCACCTTTAGAAAACAAGCTGTTGCTGACCACACCCACCCATCCCTCACTCAAGCTGCTATAAATGGAGAAGCTCCAATATCTGGGAGGGGTTTGAAGTAGAGCTGCTGCTCCGTCAGCCTGGAGAGTTCAGAAGGGGGTCTGTACATACTTATCCATTTGTGAGGAAGCAAGCTGCTTCCATCGGATGGCCACTGTGCATGTGCCTTGAGCAGAAAGGCCGAAAACAGCAGTGGGGCTGCAGCCACAGACATTCGGGCAACAGCAGGCCGTATTAAAAAAAAATGCTTCATAGAATAAATTACGCTGACTATTACATTTATTGTCAACTATTTTGTTTGTTGATGTCATCGTGACAAATCAAATAATTGTGGCTGCACTAGCCACAATATGTATCCTCGATGATCATGCCACAAATTGAGTTTCTAAAAATGTCCTCTCTTGGCTTCTGCAGTTATCTTATCTCTTGTGGCAAATTTATGTGCATTTTACAGACATATATACGAAGATGCCCCGTAGTGGCTGGCTGGCAATTTAGATGGGTCTACATTCTCCCCCAGTGCATGCATTGATTTTTACTGAGGAAGGTTCTTACCCAACTAAAAAACCCATTTTATCTTTTTTTATTTACTGACTCATACACAAGGTATGGCATAAAATATTAAATATAATAAACTAAATAAATTAATTTAAATAAAAAATCTTATCAGGTAGGCTCATGTGGGACTCCACATGATCTGTTTTCAATAGTATGCCAGTTGTTGTAACCGTAGATTGCACAGAAATGGGCATAGTTGCTCACTCTGCATTGACTTTGGAGAGTGAGGAGACCCATCCAACATGGCGGTGATGCTGCTACGCTCTCCAGCGCCAAATGGGACATCTACGTATTTATATCTATGGTTTTTTTCAGCTAAATAGTACAAAAATTACTCTAGGACATATTCATCAAAACAAACAATACATTTTTACACTTTAAAGACCATCAATCTTATCAATCAAAAATACATTAACTTATGTTATATTTATGATGTAATTATTTAATAATAAAACTTTAGTTAAAAGTATTAAAAATGGCTCTTTTCACTTGTCTTGTGGGACTTGGATCCTCAACCAAAGGACAGAAGACATGTATAGGATTCATTGGGTGTTTGAGGAACGCACTAATCATGTTGAAGAAGTAAAGAGAAACCTAGAATGGCATTGATGACCAGAGATTATAAGGCTGTAGGAGACGGTTCCCATAAAGTCTTCATAATATTTGTAAACTTTAAAATTCACAATTCTGCGTCCCCCTTAAAATCAGCCGCAACACAAAAAGGTTTTAAAACACTTTCATTCTCGTCTAGTTTCAGTCTGTGCATGAGAACGCTGTTAAAGAGGTCTGGATGTCGAAAACGGAGTTGATTATGAAAAAATAAAACAATCAAGCAGATAAAGTCATCAGTATCTGAACTGATGCAGTTTGAAAACAAACAAAAAGGACTCAGCTGGTACCCACATAGGTCAAAGGTCAGAGATCAAGCAATGACTCAGAGAGAGGCCTCTGACCTTCCACACCCAACACACACCCACACACCACACCAGAATCAATAAACACACACAATACAATCCCAGTATATGCTCCTGTGGTCAGCAGACATGAACACAATAAGCCTGCAGCCCGTTTGTTGAAAAAGAGGAAGTTAGTGTAGGCGTTCGAGGACCGGGAGTCGACCGCTGGTCTCTCGCAAAGGATACACACGTAAGACAGGACTGCAAAGGCAGCCTGGCTGCTTATGTTTCTCATCCATGTGCTTTATTATTTCCCCTTGTGCTCATTAAGAGAACGTTTCCCTTGAAATCTCATTTTAAGTCCGTTTTACAGTGAGGTAGTTTGTCTTTAGTTATCTACATACTCATTCCTGCTCTACAATCAGTGCAAGGGCACTAGAGATTAGGGTTGTGTTTGAACAGAAATTGAGGTTTCAGGGTAAGATAATTACCCGGGCAATGCAATCCTTGACAGATTGTGGACATGGTGTGTCATGGTCATGAAATCCTGAATGAGAACAAAGATGCGACTCATTTAGTTCAGCATCAGTGGAATTCATGTTTCTAATTAAAAATGCTGAGTTTGACCCGCTGTTCACATCTTCCAAGCCAACTGAGTGTTGACATGTTGAATTCAGTTGAGGTAAACACAGAGAAACAGTGTGAGAGAAAGGGAGAATGCAAAGAAGAGTGTTTGTTTTATAGAGAAAACTCACAATGACTCATTTCTGCATTCGAGACTGCAGTCATATCTGTGTGTGTGTGTGTGTGTGTGTGTGTGTGTGTGTGTGTGTGTGTGTGTGTGTGTGGTTCTGAATGTCCCCAGTTTAAAACTCTTCTTTCTGTGATTGGATCTTTTGTGTATGAGATGAACTGGTACCAAAGGGCTAAAGGGAGCAATTCCTGCAGCTTCACCAGCACAGATTCTGTTTCTTTTTGTCATATAAAAGCACAATGTGTGCTTTTGATGTTTCACTAAGCTTTTATTTGTAAAAGTGAGGTCATGGAGGGACCTTTATGCCTTTATTTGGGTTATTTTTATGCACATTTTCACAACTTTATGTAACTGATTACAGAGTGTGTAAGTTATGTTTAACATGCAGGCTACCCATTTCCTGCGTTAGCCGCTGATAGGAAATGGATGGGGAAATAATAATAATAAGAAGAAGAATAATGCATTGAACTTATATAGCACTTTTCTAGACACCCAAAGACGCTTTCACACACTCACATTCACACACTGCTAGTGATGGTAAGCTACTTGTAGCCACAGCCGCCCTGGGGAGGTCTGACAGAGGCGAGGCTGCCATTTGGCGCCGTCGGCCCCTCTGACCACCACTAACACAGGCAAGCTGGGTGAAGCGTCTTGCCCAAGGACACAACAGCAGGATACCCCTGGCGGGAACTGGAATCGAACCCATGACCCTCCGATCATGAGGCAACCCGCTCTACCACCTGAGCTACTGCTGCCCCAAATGCTCGGATTATGAAAGACATTCAGATCTACAGTTTGTCACACTGAAAGGTAACGTTTCCTCCATCTTGGCTCGCGACAGGGAAAAGCTGTTGTTGGTGAAACATCCAGGAAACAGCAGAGAGTTTTTCAACTTGTAGAAGCTAACCGTTAGCATTAACGACGTAGTTTAGTGGAGCCAAAAGCAAAACCTATCTCCTCGCTGTGCGTTCATCTTTTTAACACCAACACATGATCAGTGGAGTGATTCATCACTAAATGAAACATATCAGCTGTGTTCGACTAGGTATCTAAAACATGCAGGAAACGTGCTGGAAGCAGACTGCAGTATGTCAGCTCAGTTCTTTTCAACAGACCAGAACGGCACTCTGAAGTTGCAAATGCACACTCTGGCCACAAAGGGTGGCGGGAGTCTGAGTAACATTAACCCTGTAAAGAGTCATTTTAGCACATACTGGCTCAAGTAAAACAGAGGGGGAAAGAGTCCAGATTCTTTCAGTTCTGTTGTTTACATATCAGGATTCTCAACATTCCTTCCAGGAGCTTCTAATCTGATTAACTGGTCATCATTAGAGTGAGAAGCCAGGGGCCTCATTCATCAGGTTTGCTTACGCACAAAACGGGGTCGGAAAACTGCATAAGCAACTTTCCACGCAAACTTTGGGATTCATGAAAGAAAACGTAGCGGAAAAATGTGCGCAACTTTAAGTTGACTAAGGACCTGGCTTACGCACATTTTGGACATGGAGAGCTCTTGCAGTGCTGCTGCTGAGAAGGATAAAATTATGAAATCCTGCAGCATTAGAAGAAGAAGAAGAAGAAAAAAAATATCATTTCTATATCGCCTCTCAAGATAAAAATCACGAGGCGCTTAAAATCTGAAATATAAACGTCCTCAGGACAAACACTGTCAGCATTTAGACCCAGCGTAAAAACAAGGTCTAGAGTGTGCCCCCTGGTGTGTGTGGGGCCAGAAACATGCTGGGTAAAGACGAAGGAGTCCATAAGGCTGGAGAAATTCATGGCAAAGTGATCAGAGGGATCATCAACGTGGATGTTAAAGTCACCAACAATCACCAGTCTGGACAGCTTCACAGTGGAGGATAGAAAGTCACTAAACTCCTGAAGGGAAGAACTGTTTGGACCAGGTGGACGATAGACCACAGCACAGTAGAACGGGTCCTTACGCCCGACTTTAATCAGCTGCAGTTCAAAGGAAGCAACGTGACCAGAGGTTGTAGAGCTACATGGAAGATGGTCTCTTGAAAACAACAGCTAGGCCTCCACCACGACCAGAATCCCGGGGCTCTCGTAATTAACCCCACCCCCTGAGAATTCTAACCGAGCCAATCAGCGCTGAGTAGTGTACGTCACACACCACAACGCCGAGTTTGTCATAAACGTGGCGTCAGAAGCGGAGGTCGCTGCGGCTCTTTCCTCTGTTCTAAATGACTTGAACATGTTTTTAAAACCACAACCAACCAGTAGAAGCACCAAAAGCCTTTCTTCTAAAGAAAGATGTTTGCACTGTTGCCAGACGCCATTTTTGGCTACAGCTAAAAAAAACTACAGCGTCGCAAAGTACAGTCGACATTTCCGTCTTTTTTCTGATTGGTTATTTTTGAGCAGGCTAGTCCCGCCCCTCATGTTCCTCTCTGCCTGTGAGTAGCCAGACTCTTTCTCTGTGTAGAATTAAACAGAGGACGGGTCTGGCAGGCAGGGCTAAAGAGTGAGCTCTTCTAAAACAGGAGCTTCTGTTGCTGTGGAGCATACAGGTGTGTGTTAACACAATGCCCACAAAAAAAGACACCAGCCATGACCTCAGAGAAGAACCTGTGTGTGATGATCAATCAGGAAAGGATCAAAGGTCATTTCCACCTACAACCACCTGCAATCCATCAATCTGCAACTTCTTACAATGAGAAATATAAAATATATATTTACAAGTGAAAACATTTAAGGTAGCAGCTGCTCTATCCAGAGGTAGATGTGCCAGTAAGTTCGTTGAAATGAGAGGAAATCCATTTTACGCCGGGGACACACTGGCCGCGGAGGCGCAGAGAAGCGCCGCGAAAATGGGACCGCCTTCATTCGGCGCCCTTGTTAAGCTATTCTATAGACCACATGGGCTGCCGAAGCGCCGCGAATTGCCTCGCGCCGGCGCTCCAGCCCGCTCCGTGCAGCGATCATTTCGGCGTTGGCTCTATTTTTTTCGCGAGCCCCGCGGGTGAATCGTGTCAATTCTGGCAGGAAGTCAAACCTAGACGTAAGAGGCAGGCTGGTAAATTTAACAAAATAAAGCATTTCAAAATAAAATTCCGCAATTGTCAAATGTGTTCGTAATCAGACACTGCAGAAAAACCACACGAGCACACACACACATAGTGCGTGTGTGACCACGTGAAGGGGGTGTGGTTTTGGGTGTCTTTTCACCGGAGCAAACAGGACAGAGAGGCAGAAAGTCTGCGGCAAGCAGTTAAGATGGATGACTTTAAATTAATTATGGAAGCTGAGAAACACAAGGAGCTGTACGACCCCCGAAAAACATGATTATTTACGTACTCATTTCGGAAGAAACTGCTAGGATACAGCTGCAGAATTGGAGCGGGTTCCAAGAGATTCAACTGGCAGAAACAACTCATACCATAGGTTCACACACACACACACACGCACACACACACGCACACACACACACACACACACACACACACACACACACACACACACACAATGTAGAGGAAAAGAGCTGAGAAAAGGCAGAGAGGAAATGGAGGACACCAAGTGTTTAAAAGAAAAACTACAGCTGAGCCGAGGCGCGCCTCGACTGGGGCGCGTCTGATCTGAACTGAGGAGCGGCGAGCAGCGGCCGAATTTCGTGAGCGATTCGCTTCTCGGCGCTTCGCGGCACTTCCGCCGCCGGTGTGTCCCCGGCGTTAGACTCTGCAAGCCTCAGTTTGGAGATTAAAGGTTAAAGTTTATGACTGATCACGTTTGGCTTGTTTGGAAAAGTTGCAGGAGAGAACTTCTGTCTGAAAACAACGCGGCAACGTGAGTTTGGATTTGAAACCCTATTTAAATGAACCACTGGACTTCTGGACTTTTGGACAGATGAGGAAAAGTAGAAATGTCTGTTTACCCATAATGCACAAAAGAATTTTGGTCAAGACCAAAAAAGGTTGATCAGCACGTTGGAGGGGGGGCGTATGGTTTTGGGTGCCTTCCAGTAATTGTGGTCGGATCTTACAAGACCTGAGCAGAAACTTCTATCTACTAACCGCAAAGAGCTGAAGCAACATTGTGAAGAAGAGTGGAGGAGAATTTCTCCAGAACCATGTCAGAGACTAAATGGCTACTTCCAGATATAAAGCAGGTTCTATAGCCACGTAGTTTTAACAACCATGAACAATACAAACATGTTTTTAACCATTTCACACAGATATTAATATTTCATTATTATCTTAATGTAAGCCAGTTGATCACTTTGTGTCCTCCTCCATCACTGCAGGGTCTTTGGCGGTTTCTGTCACTGATATGACCGCTCCAGTGGTCGGGTCATCCGGAGGAGTCTATGCCCTTGTGTCGGCGCATTTGGCTAATGTAGTAATGGTGAGTTGTGAGTATTTGTGTGTAGACCGCTCAGATGTTCTATCACACCATCAGAACAGCCCATTCAGGACCCCAGCAGGTGCTCCTATACCTCCAAATGCCTGACATTCTTCACTTCATCTGGATCTTTTGTTCTTGTTCTTCAAAGATCAGAACACAGAACATGCTTATGTGACAGAGTGTGAATAAAATCCCAACCCGTCAAAGCACTCTCCTGTGTTTGTTGTACCCCTTGACCCCGCTTAAAAGGCTCATCAAATACACTTGTTTTGTCCTTCAAGAGGAACTTCGATCGTATGTCGTTGGGTGCTCATTATGTATCCACCACAACGTTCTTAAGGTCAGAGAGGAGGAATTTGTCTTCATTCTGTCGGCTGAAATCGTATTATCTCCCACAGCAGAGTAAGACTCGGGGTCAGAGTGCCTCCACAGTTTTTAGAATTGACCTGAGAGGCAAGATCTTCTGTCATTGTGTGTGTGTGTGTGTGTGTGTGTGTGCGTGCGTGCGTGCGTGCGTGCGTGCGTGCGTGTGCGTGTGTGTGTGTTTCTGAAGCACAGCTACAGTTTCTAACTCTCTCTCCGTCTTTTGTTTCCATAGAATTGGTCGGGGATGAAATGCCAGTATAAGATGTTCCGCATGGCCATGGCTCTAGTTTGCAGTAAGTTCTAGGAAACATTTGCAACAGTCACCTTTAAATGTGTGGTTATTTGTCACGTGTTATTTGTATTAGTCTGATCGATCTATCTATCTATCTATCTATCTATCTATCTATCTATCATCTATCTATCTATCTATCTATCTATCTATCTATCTATCTATCTATCTATCTATCATTTATCTATCTATCTATCATTTATCTATCTATCTATCTATCATTTATCTATCTATCTATCATTTATCTATCTATCTATCTATCTATCATTTATCTATCTATCTATCTATCTATCTATCTATCTATCTATCTATATCTATCTATCTATCTATCTATCTATATCTATCATCTATCTATCTATCTATCTATCTATCTATCTATCTATCTATCTATCTATCTATCTATCTATCTATCTATCTATCTATCTATCTATCTATCATTTATCTATCTATCTATCTATCATTTATCTATCTATCTATCTATCTATCTATCTATCTATCTATCTATCTATCTATCTATCTATCTATCTATCTATCATCTATCTATCTATCTATCTATCTATCTATCTATCTATCTATCATTTATCTATCTATCTATCATTTATCTATCTATCTATCATTTATCTATCTATCTATCTAACTAACTACTACCACGCCACTAACTACTACCACACCACTCACGCCACTAACTACTACCACACCACTAACTACTACCACGCCACTGACTACTACCACGCCACTAACTACTACCACGCCACTAACTACTACTACGCCACTAACTACTACCACGCCACTAACTACTACTACGCCACTAACTACTACCACACCACTAACCACTACCACGCCACTAACTACTACCACGCCACTAACTACTACCACGCCACTAACTACTACTACGCCACTAACTACTACCACGCCACTGACTACTACCACGCCACTAACTACTACCACACCACTAACTACTACCACGCCACTAACTACTACCATGCCACTAACTACTACCACACCACTAACTACTACCACACCACTAACTACTACCACGCCACTAACTACTACCACGCCACTAACTACTACCACACCACTAACTACTACCACGCCACTAACTACTACCACGCCACTAACTACTACCACACCACTAACTACTACCACACCAATAACTACTACCACACCACTAACTACTACCACGCCACTAACTACTACCACACCACTAACTACTACCACACCACTAACTACTACCACACCACTCACGCCACTAACTACTACCACACCACTAACTACTACCACGCCACTGACTACTACCACGCCACTAACTACTACCACGCCACTAACTACTACCACGCCACTAACTACTACCACACCACTAACCACTACCACGCCACTAACTACTACCACACCACTAACTACTACCACGCCACTAACTACTACTACGCCACTAACTACTACCACGCCACTAACTACTACCACGCCACTAACTACTACTACGCCACTAACTACTACCACTACTACGCCACTAACTACTACCACACCACTAACTACTACCACTCCACTAACTACTACCACGCCACTAACTACTACCACGCCACTAACTACTACCACGCCACTAACTACTGCCACACCACTAACTACTACCACTCCACTAACTACTACCACGCCACTAACTACTACCATGCCACTAACCACTACCACGCCACTAACTACTGCCACACCACTAACTACTACCACGCCACTAACTACTACCACGCCACTAACTACTACCACACCACTAACTACTACCACGCCACTAACTACTGCCACACCACTAACTACTACCACGCCATTAACTACTTCCACGCCACTAACTACTACCACGCCACTAACTACTACCACACCACTAACTACTGCCACGCCACTAACTACTGCCACGCCACTAACTACTACCACACCACTAACTACTACCACGCCACTAACTACTACCACGCCACTAACTACTACCACACCACTAACCACTACCACACCACTAACTACTACCACGCCACTAACTACTACCACGCCACTAACCACTACTACGCCACTAACTACTACCACGCCACTAACTACTACCACGCCACTAACTACTGCCACGCCACTAACTACTACCACGCCACTAACTACTACTACGCCACTAACTACTACCACACCACTAACTACTACCACGACACTAACTACTACCACACCACTAACTACTACCACGCCACTAACTACTACCACTCCACTAACTACTGCCACGCCACTAACTACTGCCACGCCACTAACTACTACCACACCACTAACTACTACCACGCCACTAACTACTACTACGCCACTAACTACTACCACGCCACTAACTAGTACCACGCCACTAACTACTACCACGCCACTAACTACTACTACGCCACTAACTAGTACCACGCCACTAACTACTACCACGCCACTAACTACTACCACACCACTAACTACTACCACGCCACTAACTACTACTACGCCACTAACTACTACCACGCAACTAACTACTACCACGCCACTAACTAGTACCACGCCACTAACTACTACCACGCCACTAACTACTACTCCGCCACTAACTACTACCACGCCACTAACTACTTCCACGCCACTAACTACTACCACGCCACTAACTACTATCACGCCACTAACTACTACCACGCCACTAACTACTACCACGCCACTAACTACTACCACACCACTAACCACTACCACGCCACTAACTACTACCACGCCACTAGCTACTACCATGCCACTAACTACTACCACGCCACTAACTACTACCACGCCACTAACTACTACCACACCACTAACTACTACCACGCCACTAACTACTACCACGCCACTAACTACTACCACACCACTAACCACTACCACACCACTAACTACTACCACGCCACTAACTACTACCACGCCACTAACCACTACTACGCCACTAACTACTACCACGCCACTAACTACTACCACGCCACTAACTACTGCCACGCCACTAACTACTGCCACGCCACTAACTACTACTACGCCACTAACTACTACCACACCACTAACTACTACCACGCCACTAACTACTACCACACCACTAACTACTACCACGCCACTAACTACTACCACTCCACTAACTACTGCCACGCCACTAACTACTGCCACGCCACTAACTACTACCACACCACTAACTACTACCACGCCACTAACTACTACCACGCCACTAACTACTACTACGCCACTAACTACTACTACGCCACTAACTACTACCACGCCACTAACTAGTACCACGCCACTAACTACTACTATGCCACTAAGTAGTACCACGCCACTAACTAGTACCACGCCACTAACTACTACCACGCCACTAACTACTACCACACCACTAACTACTACTACGCCACTAACTACTACCACGCAACTAACTACTACCACACCACTAACTAGTACCACGCCACTAACTACTACCACGCCACTAACTACTACTCTGCCACTAACTACTACCACGCCACTAACTACTACCACGCCACTAACTACTATCACGCCACTAACTACTACCACGCCACTAACTACTACCACACCACTAACCACTACCACGCCACTAACTACTACCACGCCACTAGCTACTACCATGCCACTAACTACTACCACGCCACTAACTACTACCACGCCACTAACTACTACCACACCACTAACTACTACCACGCCACTACCTACTACTACGCCACTAACTACTACCACGCAACTAACTACTACCACGCCACTAACTAGTACCACGCCACTAACTACTACCACACCACTAACTACTACCATGCCACAGTCTCTGCCTGAAACTCTATCATCATCTTTTGGTGTTTGTCAGCAAATCTGCTGGATGGATGTTAATGTTCAGATTTTGTGTTGCAATTTGACATTTTTGTAGCTGATAGTCATTTATAACAGACTAAGTGATAACAGGGTATTTAGGTAAACTAGGCCTTTAATTAAATATTGAATTGGTTTTAACCATCACCACCTTTTTTAAGGCTCCAGAAATTAGCAGACTAGTCATTGAAACATCATTTTTATGTGTTTGCTTGAAGCCTGAAATGAGGAAAATATGTCCAGCAATTCATAAGCACAAAACTCTGAACTGAACACGGTTGAGTCAGACTTTTGGTATGAAATTCCTTTTTTTGTGTTACAGCCCCTCTGCAGCTGCCCAGGGACATTTTACTCAGACAACCGTGACCCCAGAGGATACCCAGATTGTATTCATGAAGCAGAATACTGAAGTCTTTCATTAGTTTCCGGTTGAAAACTTGAAAAGAGGGACTGCCGAGTTTGTTCTCTATCACTTTAGCTGGAAGCACGACAGAAAGTCTCTTTTGAAAGTCAGATTGTTAGAGCTGAATTGATTCCAGTGTTAACATTTCTTGTTGATCTGATTCCCTCTGTCTGCCTGCTCTCAGTGAGCGTGGAGTTTGGTCGAGCTGTGTGGCTGCGGTTCTACCCTCCAGCTTTCCCTCCGTGCCCCAACCCCAGCTTTGTGGCTCACCTGGGAGGCGTGGCGGTCGGCCTGACTCTGGGCGTCGTGGTCCTACAGAACTACGAGCAACGACTCCAGGAGCAGTCCCTGTTTTGGATATTTTTCTGCGTCTACACCCTGTTTGTGCTCTGTGCTGTGTTCTGGAACATTTTTGCTTACAGTCTGCTCGATGTGCGGATACCTCCTGCCCCGTAAGCTGCTCCCGAGAGCCAGATAAAACACTGTATTCCTTTTGTTGCTTCGCTGATGGGCTGGATGTGCCACCTCAAAACTCATATTTCTGGACCTCATCTGATCCAAGTTGTCCTACAGCCATTGTTCTCTGGCTTGTTCCCTTGAGCATTACCATTCAAGCAAACCTCTGCCTGCTCTTCGGCTTTGTGTCCATCATCAGGAAATAAATGCCTCGGATCCCACACGACAGCACAGCTTACCTCTTCTGCCTGTTCCTCCTCAATCCAACGGTGCCTTCTCACGAAGACGTCGCTAAAACCTGAAGTATTTCTGCACATTTGCCTCCTGACTCGGGGGATGGCCGTATCGACCACCCTGTTTTACATTTTTTTGGGATCAGAACAAGTGTTTCTAACAGCACAAGCAGCTCAGAAGCACGTAGCAGAATGGCCAACCTTTCTATGACCACAGAGATGAGCCAGTCCCCCTAGAGGTGTTAACAGGAATTTATATTTAGCTCAATGTTGCCTTCAGAATCAGGATTATTGTGTTCAGCACTCTTTGAACCGCAGTCTTTGCCTCTTTCTGTGTGTGTGTGTGTGTGTGTGTGTGTGTGTGTGTGTGTGTGTGTGTGTGTGTGTGTGTGTGTGTGTGTGTGTGTGTGTGTGTGTGTGTGTGTGTGGAGACAAATGTATCATTGTGTCTTTTAGTTTAAAAAAGGAGCTAAAGTGCCATTCAGACATGAAACTTTAACAAAAGGAAACCAAAACATTAGTCGAAGCACCAGAAGTGTTGTTAATGTGAACTACAGTATTGTAGCGGTCTGCGCCGCCCTCTAGCGGAGTGTGTGTGAAGCAGCAAAGAAGAGTCAACAGGTAGGTAGCATAGAACACTTTTAATAGCCAGATGGCTCCCCTTTTCATCCCCCCACATATACATCTAACTCAAGGTGCCAACAGGCACCGGATAAGAACAACACAGCGTGAACTCCAAACTGAAACAAACAACTCTAACGTAACCCCGAACAAAATAACCCTCAGAACACCACAAACTGAATAAACAACCCCAAATTACCGTCCCCCCAGAGTGCAGTGCGGCCTTGCCGGCCTATCAGTGGCAGGGCCGTCACAGTATGTTTGTAGTTTCTGTCATCCCTGCTGAGTTCTTACAGTGACTAAAGATAGAAAAAAAAAGATAAGTGGTAGAAAGGCAGAATGAATTATTTCCTTATTACAAACAGGTCTGACCTCGGCTAGGTTTGGCTTCAGGTTTTTCCACCCATGGACCAAAGGTACGTGAGCAAAGACATAAATCAGTGACCTCCATGGACGTAATTTTGGGGGGGGGGGGGACAGGGGGGACATGTCCCCCCCACTTTTTCCAAAGTCAAGTTTTGACCCCTGCACTTTTTTACCATCCAAAAACAATATTACTTTATATTAAATTGACACTGGTTGAGCTCTAGGGCCAAGAGGAAAACAACCGTTTGTGTTGAAGCCTGCTTCCCATTAGAGCATACTGTAAAGATACACCCCCCCCCCCCCCCCCACCCCCCCCACCCCCCCACCCCCGTGTCTCCCCCACTTCTAAAGTGAAAATTACGTCCATGGATCTCTCATTAGTTTCTGTCCATGTGAGACAGAAAACGCCTGCGGCCCGAGCTCTAAACCTAAAACCGTACTGTATCTGAACCTGGCTGTTCGTGTGTCACTTATACCGATATATTTAAATACAGATAGATATTTTAACAAGCCTTTGCTGTTGTTTTTTAAACGTGGTGATGTTTGTTGTGTAAATTGGTCACTTGCTTTGTGAAATGTTAGATATATCTTGGACGTGTTCTATTTACTGAAGGTTTAATGACATCCTGGGATTGTAGATGACAAGGGCTACGACATAAAACAGTGTGGAAGGAACATCACTGACAGCATTTTAACTGTGTGTTTATTTTGTAGATTTGATATGTACGAGGTTCATTAAACTGTTTTATTTACAGAAATGGACTTTGTTGTTTGTTTGTTTTTTGTTGTTGTGAATGTTGTGATAATGTTTTTGCCTGTGTGTGTTTGTGCTTGTTTATTTGTAGTGTTAGAAAACAATGAACCACTGGACTAAATTACTGTAACAATGAAACTCTTAGATGATAATTATTGGATGGGTTGTTTTTGGGAGTGAAGACGGCCACCAAAGCTAACCAACATTAGCAAACCCAAGAATGGGTATAACTCTTCTTTGCAGAGCTGTGTTTACCACACATGCTCTGAGGAAGGAAATATTGTATAGGAGTCAGGATTCCATTTATCTTAGTTCACTACAATTACTCCACAAGGACTTTAAATGGTGCAAAAGTCCATTTATGTCAGTAATTCATCTTAAACTGAGGCCTAGTCCACAAGTAGCCGGGTTTTTTTTAAACGAATATCCGCCCCTCCAAAAAATTGCATCCACACCACCTCGTTTAAAAAAATAAACTCTGTCCACACGTACCCGGATAAATACGTTGTTAAGGACATGCCAGACCTGTAGGCGGCAGTACTTCCCCCGTTCTTAACCTCGTCCTTCGTCTGTGGTCTTCCGCAAGGAGCAGTAATTCCACTTGCAAAAACAAACAAGCAAAAAGCGCTTGGACGACTGATAAAGCGAGCGCAGCTCTGAGGGCATCCATGCTGTCGGCTAGTGTAAACACAGGTCGCACACGTGATGTCAGCATTTTTTTGTCGCGGAAAGTGACGTTGCGGACCTTAAAACTCCGGTTTTGTCTGTCCACACGCAGACACCCAAAACGGAGAAAACGCAGATCTTCACTTTGGCCGAAGTTTTTAAAAAACCGTTTTCACGATCCGTTTTTGTGTGAAAAAACTCCGTTTTCATGTGGATGAGTGGCCAAAACGTAGAAAAATATCTACGTTTTGGCAGATCCCCGGCTACGTGTGGACAGGGCCTGAGAGACCATCTAAAGGAGTGTTCCCCAACCCTGGTCCTCAGCGCCCACTGTCCTGCATGTTTTTCATGTCTCTGCATCAGCACACCTGATTTACATATTTTCATTTTCTCCTAAGGAGAACATCAAGTGCTGCAGAAGCCTGTTAATCACTCATTCGTCTAAGTCAGGTGTGTGGCAGCAGGAAAACATGCAGGACAGTGGTAGGACCAGGGTTGGGGAACTCTAAAGGCTCAGCACCCCTCTGCAGGTGTTTTGGATTCATTAGCTGGTTAGAGTGTGACACCGAATCTAGAATATTCAGATTTAAAATTTGGGTTTTCATAAGCTGTAAGCCATAACCATCACAATTATAACAAATAAAGGCTTGAGCTTTGCACAGAATGCGTCTATCTCATATGTTAGTTTAATCTTTTAAGTAGAATTACTGACATGAATAAGTTTTTGAACCACATTCTGATCTTTCCTGTTCACCTGTATCGACTATTTAAATCGTCTAATTAACCCAACACGCATGTTTTTGTTCTGTGGGAAGAAACCCGGATGTGTATTATCACAGAACTTTTTGTTGGAAGAGATCAGCATGTGGCAACTGTCTGAGCTGCTTGCTATACTAAAGAAGATCCGGAAACTCAAGGAAATGATGCAGGAAAAAGGTAACAAAATCAGAATACTGGGGGAAAAAAAGTGTAGATGAATTAGAACAAAATACTAGAATGGAAGAGATTTAACACCCACCATGGGTCAGCTGCAAAGGCTGCAGTGATCCTGCGGTACAAGCTCAGTGGACGACACGCTGGGAAAAACAAAAACAGGGATATTGCAAAAAATTTGAGGGGGAGTGAACACTCAACTGGGATCAACTATGGATTCTGGGTTAATCACCACCTCATTAGCTTTAACTGATTTTGTTCAACCAATAACAAATATAATAGAGGACAAGATATGCACAATGCTCGATCACATTACTAAAAGTTACAGAAGCATAGTATAAGAGGCCTGGCACATGATTGGTTGCATGGACGTAATTTTCACTTTAGAAATGGGGGGGGGGCACGGGGGGGGGGGGTATCTTTACAGCATGCTCTAATGGGAAACAGGCTTCAACACAAATGGTTGTTTTCCGCTTGGTCCTAGAGCTCAACCAGTGTCCATTTAATATAGCGTAATGTTGTTTTTGGATGGTAAAAAGTGCAGGGGTCAAAGCTTGACTTTGGAAAAAGTGGGGGGCACATGCCCCCCCCCCCCCAAAAAAAAATTACGTCCATGATTGGTTGATCAGCTACCTACAGAACAGGTATCAGTGTTATGGTTACATGCGGCGTGCTGCTAGGTTCAGTACTTGGTCCATTGCTGTTTCCTTTAAGGACACTTGCTTGGCTTTAGACTATTTTGTTTACTGATGAAACAGCTTCTAATATGATGGAGAAGGCATTACAAAAGTTTAAACTGTGGTTTGATTCAAACAAATTGTAAAACAAGTGCATTTTATTTGGAAATAAGCCCAGAAACTTTAGTAGAAACTTAACAATAAATTTTACTGAAACAGAATTCGTACCTAATATCAAATTTCTTAGTTATCACTGATGACAGATCAAACTGAAAGTCGCACAACATTTTAGTAAAATATGAACTATTGCAATTTTGTATATATTTCAATACTTCCTCTCTCAATATTCTTTTCAATGTTATTCACATTCCAGCAGGAAAGCCGTGAGGGGGTCTGTTTCCGTAGCAATACCCCCATCAAGTGGACGAGGACGCAAATTGAAAAGGCTTGCAATTTCATTAAACGCTTTCCATCAACAAGTATATGTTACCTTGTCACTAGACATCCCAAAAAACTACAATTAAAAGGTTAGATAAAATATTATAAGACTATATTTGGAGGATAAAACCTCATTATCTTAAAAAAGACGTTATCACAAAACACAGAGAGCAAGGTGGTCTGGATGTACTAAATTTTAATACTATAAATAACACGTTTAAAATCAAATGGCTCATCGAATTCTTAAGAAATCCCAACATTATCTGGAACGCTTTTCCGGCATATGTATTTAATACCCTCGGTGGTGTAAACTTTTTGCTGAAATGTAATTTTTCCATTGATAAAATTCCCTTGAAATTAGCTGAGTTCCATTAACAAGCCCTGTTATCCTGGATCTTGATGTATAAACATAATTTTAGCCCACATAGGTATTTTATCTGGAACAACAGGCATCCTTTATCGGACATGGTTTGACAGAGGAATCCTGTTAGTAGGTCAGTTCCTGAATAAAAATGGTTTTCTAATGTCATATTCAGAATTTCTGCAGTTCTTCAATTTCTCAGTGACGCCGAAAGAATACGCAGTGGTATTTGATGCAATCCCTGCAGGGTCACTACACATCCTAAAATGCATGACATTTGAACATAATGCTGAAACTAATAGAATTTTTGTTGGAGCTGTAGAGATTACAAGGGAAAGATGCACTAATAAGTATGTTAGAAACCAAATTTCTTGTTCGGTCCCACCTGCTGCAAAGTTTTTTTGGTATTCAACCATGGGTTACCTAAATTGGAAGAAGGCTAATACTACAATACATAAATATTGTACTGATAATAAAATTAAAGAAGTTTCATTTAAAATCTTGCACCAAATTTACCCTGTTAAAGATATACTTAAAAGATTCAAAGTAAATATGGAAGAGTCGTGTATTCGGCCAATCAAGTAGATTGTTTATACACCAAAAGATTTTGGTCTGAATTGGAAGAATTAATTGTCACAAAATTGAAAGTCAACATCAGTATAAGAATTTTTAATGTAATGTCATAGTTTGTCCAAAAATGTAATGAATGTTATTCTGTCATGACTCCCATCCTTCACCCTCCTCTGCCTCCTCATTTACTCTTCATTCAGCTCACCTGTCCCTTCACCAAGCTCCAGCCAAGCCCTGTTTTCCCTAGCAACCTCAGTCAGCATCACAATCAGCTTCATTCATCTCACCTGTTCCTGTAATCGGCTTCATCCACTTCACCTGCTTCTGACTCCTCAGCTCATCTCACACACCTGCTTCCCCTGCTATAAAAGAACCATCCACCTGTCAAGTCTCAGCCAGCTTATTGAAAACATTTTCCAGTATATTCTCCAGCCATCCACCCTGCCTGCCCTCTGCCTCTGGACCTTGTTTTTTCTCCTGACCCCTGCCTTGAACTCTGCCTGCCATCGCGACCCTCGCCTGTCTTCTACCACGTCTCCAGCCTGCTCCCTGTGCCTGCTTGTGCCGATCTGGTTTTGACTCACGCCTGCCCTCCGACTCTTGTCTCCTGCCTCCTTTGTCTGGTAACTCAACAAAAAATAAAAGATTCTTTTATATACTTTTACTGTGTTTGGCATCATTACGGGTCTTCTGAATTCAGTTCGTGACATATTCAGCTATTTGTCATCCTTGTAAAATTCCATATCCACAAATGCAAATGGTCTAATTCACATCCTTGCTTTAAAATATTTCTTGTGGACCGGAAACTGTATTACAAAACAATTCAACATGTGAAGAACACAAAGGCTACAAGAACATTTCAACTTCTGAAGGATCTGAGCATGTTATGAGTTAAATTTTATTGTCCTCTTTACACATCGCAATATGCTTTAAGACCCGCTGGCCTGTTTGTAATGTTCCTTGTGCAACCTGCACAAGTGTTTTCTGTACCTATTGTCATGTATTGTGCTAATGAAGTTGATTTAAAATAAGAAACCGTGGTTGGATGTTGTGGCGTTCTACTCAGAATAAATTAGTTTTTGATTCCAGATCTTGATGTTTGGGCGGTGGAGGGAGAGGGGTGTAACAGGAGCATAATACCTAAAACACAGGTTTCCGCACACAAAACTTCTAATGTAGTATCGGCACATAAAATTTATGTATTCGCATTTTGATAAAAGATTTAAAATGTTTTAAAGTTGAAAAAGTAACCCTTTACTTTGAAAACTGCATTTAAACTGAACTGAAGCAGAATGAAGGCTGTTTTCCAAGTGGATGATGGCTTGACAGAAGTGTGGAGGGATAGGTTATCTGACAAATTACTGCTTAAAAAGGCACAAAGAATCTCTTGGCTCTCTCATTCTAATGTTTCTTCTGGATGACATCCTGCAAGATGTCAGCGTCTCACTGTTACGGCCTTTCTTGTTACAAGATAGTCACGTTCTTCCGAGAAATTTTCTAAGAAAAACAATTGGTATTGTGAGAAACCTTGAGGAACTGCTCCTAAAGTTCCCACCGCACTGACAGTAATATACAGGTGCTGGCCAGTAAATTAGAATATCATCAAAAGGTTGAAAATATTTCAGTAATTCCATTCAAAACGTGAAACTTGTACATTATATTCATGCAATGCACACAGACCAATGTATTTCCAATGTTCATTACATTTAAATTTGATATTCATAAGTGACAACTAATGAAAACTCCAAATTTGGTATCTCAAAAAATTAGAATATTCTGAAAAGGCTGAATATAGAAGACACCTGCTGCCACTCTAATCAGCTGATTTACTCAAAACACCTGCAAAGGCCTTTAAAAGGTCCCTCAGTCTTGTTTTCAAGGCACCACAATCATGGGGAAGACTTCTGACTTAACAGCTGTCCAAAAGACAATCATTGACACCTTGCACAAGGAGGGCAAGACACAAAAGGTGATTGCTAAAGAAGCTGGCTGTTCGCAGAGCTCTGTGTCCAAGCACATTAACAGACAGGCGAAGGGACGGAAAAAATGTGGTAGAAAAAAGTGTACAAGCTCTAGGGATAACCGCACCCTGCAGAGAATTGTGACGACAAACCCATTCAAAAATGTGGGGGAGATCCACAAAGAGTGGACTGCAGCTGGAGTCAGCGCTTCAAGAACCACCACGAGGAGACTCATGAAAGACATGGGATTCAGGTGTCACATTCCGTGTGTCAAGCCACTCTTGAACAAGAAACAGCGCAAGAAGCGTCTCGCCTGGGCCAAGGACAAAAAGGACTGGACTGATGCTGAGTGGTCCAAAGTTATGTTTTCTGATGAAAGCAAGTTCTGCATTTCCTTTGGAAATCAAGGACCCAGAGTCTGGAGGAAGAGCGGAGAAGCACAGAATCCACGTTGCATGAGGTCCAGTGTAAAGTTTCCACCGTCAGTGATGGTGTGGGGTGCCATGTCATCTGCCGGTGTTGGCCCACTCTGTTTCCTGAGGTCCAGGGTCAATGCAGCCGTCTACCAGGAAGTTTTAGAGCACTTCATGCTTCCTGCTGCTGACCAACTTTATGGGGATGCAGACTTCACCTTTCAACAGGACTTGGCACCTGCACACAGTGCCAAAACCACCAGCACCTGGTTCAAGGACCATGGTATCCCTGTCCTTGATTGGCCAGCAAACTTGCCTGACCTTAACCGCATAGAAAATCTATGGGGTATTGTGAAGCGGAGGATGCAATACGCTAGACCCAACAATGCAGAGGAGCTGAAGACGACTATCAGAGCAACCTGGGCTCTCATAACACCTGAGCAGTGCCACAGACTGATCGAGTCCATGCCACGCCGCATTACTGCAGTTATTGAGGCAAAAGGAGCCCCGACTAAGTATTGAGTGCTATACATGCACATTCTTTTCATGTTCATTCTTTTCAGTTGGCCAACATTAGAGAAACAAACATTTTTTCATTGGCCTTTAGAATATTCTAATTTTCTGAGATACCAGATTTGATGTTTTCATTGGTTGTCACCTATAAATATCAAATTTAAATGTAATGAACATTGGAAATACATTGGTCTGTGTGCATTGCATGAATATAATGTACAAGTTTCACGTTTTGAATGGAATTACTGAAATATTTTCAACCTTTTGATGATATTCTAATTTACTGGCCAGCACCTGTATGCTTCAGTAAATGTCTATTTTTTTTTAAAAGTCATTTTTAGAAGCTTTGAAAAATGACACAGGAAAAAATGTGCTAATGTTTAGCTAAAAAAAAACACTCAAAGTTTCTAATTAAAATTTTTGGACCATATTTATGTGAATTTTAGGACCTATTTAACCAGCAATTTACTTTGAAAAATACTAGTTGAATAAACAGCTGTAACATTTTATTTTTACAGCTGTGACATTTATGATATGATTTATACGATAAACATTTTTTATAGCTCGTGATGAGCTTCCCAGTATGATTGGAACTAAAATGCAGAGGCGGCGTTACCATTAGGCAAAGGTAGGCGATTGCCTTGGGCCTCAAAAACTTTAAGGGCCCCATGATGAACACTTAACTAATATGTTTAAGGTATTTTTCGCTCTGAAACGAGTGAACCCTGTCATTGTAAAAAGCATTGTGCAAAAAGTTTGTGTCAACCCTGCCAAAGGTCACAGATTTTTTTACGGTGCTACAGCAGAGTAACACCAATGAAAGTTGCTAATTTAATGCGGCAAATAAACAAGCTGCCTCTAGCATTAGAGTTAGCAATGCTAATGCTTTTAGCGAAGTGGAGGAGTCTGTTGCTGGAAGCTCAAGTTGCGGTGATGCAGCAGGAGAGGAGCAGAGGAGGAGATGAGAAGAAACAATCTACAAAGCTCAAGAAACAGGGAAAGGAGAGAAACAAGATGATTAAAGGAGCAGAGGAGGAGAGAAAGAAACAAAGCATTCAAGGCAAGACTCAGAAGAGAGAGAGAAGGAAAATAAAAGCAAAGGTAGAAAATGGTAACTTTGACATGGTTATGCAATTTTTTTCCTGTATCTCCATATTTAACCATTTTGTCTTGTTTTATTGCTTCCTTTAGTGAAAGCAGACCAACTAAGGCACAAGATAGTGGTGTTTCACCAGAAAAAATGAAAACGAAGAGAATAGGTGGGTGGGCAATAAATCAATACAAACATGAATGTCATTATTTTTGTACAAATCAAATGATTTTATGCTAATTACATTTGTTAAACACATTCTTTTTTCCATTCACATGCAGTTCCAGAGATTCTTGACATCAGTGCCATCCAAGACTGGACCAGTGAAGAAGTTTTACCTTTTTGTAGTAAGAATTAAAAAAAAAAAATCAGAACAACAGCTGTGGAGGTCCTCATGTCTTTGCTTGCCTTGGGCCCCCAAATTGCTAAATCCGCCCCTGCTAAAATTTTTCTTAAAACTTTGATTGTTCAGCTATCTGCAACAGGCAAGATGTCCATGTGTTTATAACTGTTCCACAAAACACTTGAATTGACAGGGTAAAACAAGGTAAGTATACAAGAAATTGGGATTTTTATGAGTAGCCTAGTTGATTTTTATTCCAGCCAGATCCTAAAACAATGGGCGTGGCGTGTTCATGATGCTGCCGCCGATACTACTTCCTCCTCTAACCAGGCGCCATTTTCGTTCTTGTCCGTCATAGCAGCATGCTGTTGTCAAACAGATAATAAGACTAAGACTTTGTGTTATTCGAGATCTTTTCCAGCTTTCCACACAATGGGGCGAAAGAAGAAGAAGCAGATGAAACCATGGTGCTGGTATCCTTTTTAAATTAGCGGTGAAACGCAGTTGAAGGAGGGCTACATGTTAGCTTTCCAAAACGAGGCCTAGCATCCTCACCGCTCTTCTTTTATCATCTATGCTAATGCTAGTTTAACGAGTGGATAATATTACCCTAAAAGGCTGATGTTATTAACCGTCAAATGTATTTGATATTTGTAAAATGTTCGATGTCGAGTGTTTTTGTGTGGCAATGTTTGTTTTATTTGTATGAATGTTTAGCCTTTCTAACGGTACTTCCCGATGTTAGCTAATCTGCTAACCATGGATTAGCACATCAGTAGCCTTTATGTAATCTAGGAAGCAAACGCTCTGATCTGGTTTGATTGGGATTTTCAGGTCTTTTTTTGAATTTGTAAGAACATTCCTCAACTTCATTAAGGTACTGCAATCGAGACTTTGATGATGAAAAAATCCTCATACAGCATCAGAAGGCAAAGCATTTTAAATGCCACATTTGTCACAAGAAATTATACACAGGGCCCGGATTGGCTATTCACTGCATGCAGGTACGGTTGATGTTCTTTTCTATAAATTGACATAAAAAAGCATAACGAGTAAAGATGGTCCTTTTTGTCGATCACACACTGATCTGAACTGACACTTTGTTTGTGTAACAGGTACACAAAGAGACAATCGACAGTGTACCAAACGCAATTCCTGGGAGAACTGACATAGAGCTGGAGATTTATGGCATGGAAGGAATACCAGAGAAAGATATGCAGGAACGGAGAAGAACATTGGAACAGAAATCACAAGGTAAGTTCATGTGTGTGTGTGTGTGGTATCGGTAAGAAGGCAAGTAAAATGAAAAAAACGTTTCTATATGAATTTATGTAATCTTATCAGTTTGAGCAGAATTGATGCAGGATTTTCCTAACCACTACAACATTTGTTTATTTTATTTTTATTACTGTGCACCGATATGAAATATCTTTGTGTATTCAAGTTTTGCGTTACTGCTACTATTGCTATGTTACTTTTTCAGAGAGTCAAAAAAAGAAAAATCAGGATGACTCTGATGATGATGACGATGACGATGAAGCAGGACCATCAACTCAGCACGTTGCTGCTGTTCAGCCTCAGCCAGGCTACGTTACCCCAATGACCCAACCTGGGATGCCTCCGGTGGCTGGTGCACCAGGAATACCTCCTGCAGGATATCAAGGCAAGGACTCCGTCAATGGCAAAAGATGGAAATTTATGTTTTATTATTTTGAAAGGAACAATGTGTACTCTTGGGAAGATGCGGGTGGATTTAGTCATGAATTGCTTCATGATCCAAGTTGAAAATTCCTAAAGAATAAATTTTTAAACAGGAAAGTTACCAAGCTGATGATCAAGCGAAATGCTGTGGGATAAGACGAAGCAAACACTGGTCACTGAATTTGTGTTACCAGTTATCTAGAATTTTAAACTGGGATAAATGTGTTAATAGAACCATGACGTGGTTATTTGTGGTGGATGTCAGCCTGTGAGCATCTCTTTTCTGTATTCAGATCCACGTCCAACTCATGAATTCCAAGCTGCTTTATTATGCTGATGATCCAAACATTTAGAACCTGAAAGACAAAATAAACATGGACATCCACGTTGCACCTAGTTACCTGGATGCAGTTATCTTTAAGTAATTAAAACGATTCTAAACTGTGTTAGAAAGAATAAAATAAAAACGAACTTTCATGCATCTAACATCATAACTTTGATAAATTTTAGAATTTAAAAGGTCTTTTCAACTTTTAAATAACGCAATAATGCAGGTGTGCGACAGCAAGTGAGTCCATGCTTCCTGTTGTTCCAGGAATGCCTCCCATGATGCCGGGCGTTCCTCCCATGATGCATGGCATGCCCCCTGCAATGCCCGGAATGCCACCGGCGTAAGAATTCATTCATGCTTCTACTTTTTCTAATTCAGTGACATTAAAGTTATTTACTATTAACTTAATGATAATCATTCATGAGTTTCCCAGCTCGGTGGTCAAACTGCAACCAGTAAACTTAAAGCTGATTCTCATTTGCAGCATGATGCCAATGGGAGGGATGATGCCTCCCATGATGCCTGGGATGCCCGCTATTCCTCCAGGTGGGTTCTGGTTACTTTGAAGAGAACAATTGTTTTTTTTTTTTTTTTACCTTTGTCTAAAATTATAAAACATTGAAAACATTTTTTAACTTTCTGATTATAATCGGCCCTCTGAGATTTTTATGCAGGCTGAACACGAAAATGGTCTCCTACACCTGTCTCCTGCATTAGCTTCTGATAAAAATAGACTCAAACTGTGATTAGAAAATCCTGACAGATCTACGTCACAGTATCGCTGAGCCTTCATGGACTCACCGCTAACGCTCGTCTAAGTGCAGCTATGGTCAGAGTGTAGTTTTGCCACCGTAAATTGGCTCCAATCTTCACAATTTAGTGCAAAATTTATTTCACAAACATTTTCATTTCCATCATTTACCACGTTTCACAGGTAAATGTCACCAAGTTTTAGCACGTCCGTGTGCAAGAGTCACGTCCCGCAGCTTACGTTGTAGCCCAAATAACGTAGTCCTCACACAGTGGCTAAATTACATCTGTGCATTTGACCCGTCCTCGTAGGAACAGTAAGCTGCAGCAGCGGCTGCGCTCAGGAATGTGTCATGCAAACTTTATGCATAAATTAGCTTCGCATGAACCGCTTTAGCCGGCGTGTAGTGCATTAGATCGGTTTTAAATGAGTAGTTGTCAGCTCCTCAGTGCTGCAGGTCTGTTCCTGTGGAGGCTGTTTAGGAACGAGTAATCCAAAATGGCTGAATTGTCCACTTTAATTATAGGGATCTTTAGTTCCATTCTGTAAATGGATTTATTTTGTGCGTTCTGTCCAAGTTTTAATAGAAGAATGTTTCCTAACTGTGACTGGTCTTTCAGGAATGCCACCTCACATGGCTCCAAGACCGGGAATGCCCCACCTTGCTCCGGCCCCCGCAGCAGGACCAATGCCCAGCCGACCAGCAGGACCAATGGCTCAGCCTGCTGTTAACAAGCCTCTGTTTCCCAGTGCAGCACAGGTTTGCATCGTGCACACACACACACACACACACACACACACACACACACACACACACACACTAGCTTTACAAACGTTGTCTCCAGATGTCCTAAAGACCATTATTTAATGAACTATACCACCTGTAGGGTTTACAGAGAGATGAAACCTGTTTTTTTCCTTACCTCAGCCCCACTCATCATCTTAATCATGCCACCGTTGGATTTTAGTTTGGGATAGTTCATGTGGACGTGTTTCATGCCAATCCTTTGATCTCCTTGTCGTCATGCTGCAGATGGGCTCTGGCGTGTCCTCTCCACCTGCAGACCTTCAGTCTGCCTCCTCCCAACCTCCCTTTGCTAACTCGCCCCAAGTACGCTCACAGACGGCGCTGCGACTGTGGCAGCTGCATGGTGCATAATCATTTTGGCTGTGAATTGTTGGTGCCTAATTAAGCTGGGTAGCTAACAGCATCTGCCTTGTGAGCATACATCTGAGAGCTGTGAGCTTTATAGCTGCATGCGCTTTAAGAGTGAACAAACACGAGGCACAAGAAGGGGTCAAGCCGGGCGTACACTGTGCGACTTTTTCACTTGCAGCGTTCAGCTTCAGCTCAAACTGTACGACTTCCTCGCAGAGCAGATCTCACGAGTCATGTGCTCACACTGCACGACCCAGTTCTCGCATGCGACCTGACTGCTCACACTGTACGTCTGGTAGCAACACGTCGGCCCTAAAAATAGCAGTTTTTACTCAACACGTCAGACGTTTTTGTCTTGTTTTGCCTGTTGTCCTTCGGGAGTGCTGCAGGAGGACACACAGGGATTTATGGGGGTTGGATGAGGAAAACGAAATAAAGAAAGTAAATCTGGCGAGCGGCGCTGATGCAGGATTGCGCATGCGCCGTGAGCGGTTCTGATACTTTTTGGGTCGCAGCTGCTCGCAGCGCCGCTTCAACAGTGCGATACCCTCACGAGGGACGAGCAAAATTTTAAACACACCAAAAGTCCGTGCGACCTCACGACTGCTGATCGGCAGCTGGTCACGTGGTGTTAATCGCCTCTCGTAACCCCCTGTACACTACACGACCGCTCGGCGCAAAACTCGCCCCGATGTCGTGGATTCTCGCACGACTGGAAAATCGGCTCAAAAAAGTGAAAAAGTCGCACAGTGTACGCCCGGCTTTAGTGTCCATCATTGGTCACCTCTTGTAAGAAATTGGCTCGTTTAGCTTTGAAATGCTTTGTATGTTGTCGTTTGTTCCACATGACCTCCCCTGAAAGATGGCCCATGACCCTCTGAAGTGAATCAAGTCTTTAGTTGATTTGTTGTCCTACATTTAAGATGTTCAGGATTTTAAATTCACAGAACTATGTTTAAAGTTTAGTTTTGGAAAACAGAACAAAGTACAAATGGAGATCTGTTGGCTACGATCTTGAAATGCAATGATTCATTTTGTTTCTGACGGATGAAGTTGTTCTGCATGTTGGCGGTGTGTGGCGGCACCAGTACAGAACCGTCACCTGTTGTGTTTCTCTGCACAGGCCCAACAGAATGTCCCAGGAGCCGCAGCTTCCAGCACAGTCGCCTCCTCTGACCCTCCCAAAGTCACATTCCCCGCCTACACCCAGCCCTCTGTCTCCTCTTCCTCTTCCACTTCTTCTTCTAATCCCTCTAGCAGCACTGTGGCCAAACCCCCGGCCACAGTGACCAGTAAGCCTGCCACCCTCACAACCACGAGTGCAACTAGTAAGTTGATCCACCCTGATGAGGATATCTCACTGGTAAGTTGCCTGAGCTTTCTGTTTTGACCTTTTCACAGTAAGTAATGATTCATATAGTATGTCCAGTGATGTTGGTGACAGGTGGCTGCTGCCTCTGACCAGAAGGCTAGCAGCATAAAAACACACACTGGTCAGGGTCGGAAGTAAAGTGGAGCACTTAGGGGGGATTTCATGAACACCACTGAGTAGTTTGTTTTCTGTGGTGATGTTGAAGGATGATACTGAACTTGAATATCCTCCGTTTGAAATCGGGACATGCCAACATTGGTACCCATTGCCTCAACCTTTTTGTGAGTGTTTCTGTGTACTGACAGAAGGATAACGGAGTTTCTGTCGACTGAGTCTTTGCTTTGTGTGTTGTCTCTGTATCCAGGAGGAGATGAAGGCTCAGCTACCTCGCTACCAGCGTCTCATACCCAGGCCTGGTCAGGCCCATGCTGCTGCCCCCCAAGTGGCAGCTGTAGGTAGCATAATGCCCCCACAGCAGGGCCTGCCACCGCAGCAGCCTGGCATGAGGCATCCCCTACATGGTGAGAGAGTTGATCCGTCTCTGGAACATAACCGACACACAGCTGAGCCGAAAGGTGGCCAATGTTTTTGTCTGTAGAGTTGGCGAAGTTTCTCATGAACTGCTTTTATTTTAGAAAACCCGTCACAAAGGATGCGCTCTTTTTTTAACCGTTAAAGCAAATCTGTAACAAGCTAGGTTAGGGCTGCTCGATTATGGCAAAAACAATAATCACGATTATGGTGACTGAAATTGAGATCACGATTATTTAGGACGATTTTTCAATTTATGTTGATTTTATTTGTTTTTATTCTGTCATAAAACTGCTCAGGGCACAATCAGGACAAAAATAAGAAACAAGATGATCATTAAAATAACTCCTGATTCCCAGGATAAAAAGACCAATATACTTATAGCTCATAGTCTATGACCCAAGGGCTATAGACCTTGGTTTAACTCATTTAAGTCTAACCAGTACAGACCTAAATACCAATATCCTGCAAATACTGACAGCAAGAATTAAACAGTGGCATTTATAACAAATAAATGTAAATAAATTGATTTTCACAAAATGTTGCATAACATTTATTTAGTCGTGTCAAGGTGCTGTAGGAGAGTGCACTAGCACCGTGTCCTCAGAGAGATTAGTTATTATTTATCAGCGTGAGGAACTTAATCTACCTTATTTATAAACTATTTATTTACAGGCCCATCAGTTAATGTAATAATTGTCCCAACCACAGCTGCACCCCCCCACCTGGTCTCACAGCAATCGGGCAAGCTGCACGTGTGTTTAGCACGCCGCACGCACACATTTAGCTGTTTTTAGTGGCTCAGGAGTCCGCAGGTGCGGTGTGTGTGTCACTCACTCTGGTTAATCCAACAGGGAGCCGGCTTCGAGAGCTGTTTCTTTAGCGACTGACACATCACTACATCATTCCCTTTCCTAATGTTGTGACGAACGGTCCGGAGCGCAGGCGGAGCGTTTAGCTAACCTGCAGGAAATGTCGACGACAGTTATCCAGAAAGTAGCTAAGGGTTACCAGAGATGTTTCTGAGGTGTTCGCTAGGTACTTTTAAGATTTAAAAAGTCAAGAAGGGGGTCTGAAAAGCTGCTAGAAATAGCGTCAAAGTCGCCAAGTTGGCAACACTGTGGAGGAGCGCTTCATTTGCAACTCAGGGCAGCGCGAGCGGGAGGAGCAAATAATCGGCTTGTTTTGTATTTTTATAATTGTTCAAAACTCAGATCGTAATCGTGATTAAAATTCGATTAATTGAGCAGCCCTAAGCTAGGCTATAAATGCAAACACGGTCACGGAACACTCAGCCCTCCTCTCGGGTATTGTCCCTGGGACGCTTCTGCCGGACCCGGAAACCCGCGGCATCGGACAAAACGATACTGCACTAAACACCAGTCGCTGTTTTCTAGGTCCAAGTGTCTTTTGTTGTCTGTGACTTCAAATGGTGTTTTTCCTTATTGGGACTCTGGTAGTTAGTCCTGAAGTTAGCGTGGAAGCAGTTGTTTCTCCGTCTCTGATCTTACTGAGCGGAGAACCTCTCACACCAGCGGTGTTCTGTTGGTAAATGCACGAGTGTGTAAAGAGTGAAGGACCCAGGGAAGAGTGGAGGTGCAGCGAGACTTGACATTCGGATAGTCCAATAGCTGCTTTTGGTCAGTCGTGTTATTGGTGGAGGATTTTAGACAAATGCGAGAGAACCACCTTGTTTGTTTTTTTAAATTTCCACAAATGATTTACACATACCTGCAAATTTGTCACTTCTTGGCAAAAATCACCATTTTTGAAGCCGAATATGGTGTTCACGTGAATCTAGGGCTGCAGCTATCGAATGTTTTTGTAATCGAGTACTCTATCGAATATTTTATCGATTAATTGAGTACTCTAATAAATGACCCTTTTGCGTTTGTAAACCATTATATCAAACAGCATGTTATAAAATATGAAAGACCTCTTAAAATGAGCAATTGCCAGTTATTCTTCAAGTTTTATTCTAAATTAGTTTTCAAAACTTCAGCACTTCAACTTTACTTCACAGTAAACAAATGCGAGCGGCCCAAACAGCACCAGAACCGCCCACGGCGCATGCGCAAACATGGCTCGCCAGCTGTTTCCCTATTAACACACGTCCGTTTTAATTTCTACACTTTTTTTCCTCACACTAACAAGGATTGTCGAGAAAGCATGTTTGCCGTGGTTATGTCGAATTATACTGATCACACAACATTTATTTACTTTCTTTTGTTTTCCTCCACCACTCTCATAAATACCCGCGTCCTCCTGCAGCGATCCCGAGGGACAACGGACATCAATAACAACACAGTAAAAAGTCCGACGTGTTGTAAAAACTATTTTTAGCACATTTTAAGACCGACGTGTTGCTACCAGACGTACGGTGTGAGCTGAAACTGAGTGCTACAAACTAAAAAGTCGCACAGCGTCTGCAGAATATATAGAAATACAGGCTAAAATGCATTATCATGTAGAGGCTCCGAGTCCACTTGCAGAAGAGACATTTACATGTGGATGTTTCCTGGTCAGGTGCTGCAGCATGGAGGATGAGGTGTTGTGGTAGGCTAAATCCATTTTACAGTTTTTACACTGGACTACGTTTTCCGCCTTACGACGTGAAAAATGGTCCCACACCTTTGATATTTTCTGTCTTTTTCGCACTCCACCGTGGTCCACGTTGTCCGCCATGGCTTAAGAGAAAGTTAAGTTGCGTTCGCTACTCGCGTGTGCATTCAGTGCAGTGTGTATGTGCGCCACTTATTTCGGTCCGGGTGAAACATGACCCCGGGCGAGTGCAAAGCCATGAATTAAACATGAATTAAACGAAGCCTCGAGGCAGAGAATTAGACTCGAGGATTTTTTGTACTCGAATTATTCGAGGTACTCGAGGAATCGTTTCAGCCCTACGTGAATCGTGTAGATTTTAGTTGGGGGTCTGCTGGGTTTCAGTCACTTTGAGAATCGATCGGAGGAAGGAGGGAGGATTCCTCTTGAGACTTTAGCTGATTTGCCTCCTTTAAGCCTTTAAAGATTTTCCCCAGAGGCTCGTCATACTTCTTCTTTTGGTTGTTGAGTTCAGAGTAAACGTGGTGGGGGGGTGTTTGATTTTACTCGTCGCTTTTTTCAAATCTTCTGAGTTTGCAGGTATGTTTGTAACTATTCAACGTTGATGTTGTTAAGCGGCATGGAAACAATGTTTTAAGCTAACTTGTTTTCTACATTTGCTGTCCAACATCTGCTCTCCTTCCCTGTCCCATGCAGGTCAGTACGGTGCCCCCCCTCAGGGCATGCCAGGCTACATGCCTGGGGGGATGCCTCCATATGGGCAAGGTCCTCCTATGGTGCCCCCTTACCAGGGAGGACCTCCAATGGGTATGAGGCCGCCCGTCATGTCTCCGGCTGGACGCTACTGAAGAAGCAAAGCAGCCACCCCATTAGGTTTGAGGTTAACACCTTTCTCTCACCCATGTGCTTTTTCAAACCTAGCTGCAAGCAAAGAGCAGTAAGACCAGAGGTGGTGAAGACAAACACAGTCTGTTAAAACGCATGGACATTAATCGTAACTTGTTAAATGGGAGACGGATGAAACACCACATTGATACCTAACAGCTTTTCGGTGTTGCTTGATCACATGTGAGGATATATTTTTTCCCCCATAGGTTTCACTCAGGTTCATAGAGGTGAAGTGTGTAAAAATGATTCGTATTTCTTTTGAGGCTGCTGGAGTTACATGAACATACCAACCCCCTTACAAAGGCAAGTTTCTCTTGTGAACATTTGATTCATTTGATGTCTTTGCTAGACTGATTGAGGCCCTCACAGCACACACAGGTGCTGTTGGACATTCGTCCCCAACTTTGGTTGGTGAGGGTCTCAGTGGTGATGATTCCTACTAAGTAAATTCGCTCATCAGTTTCTAGCTTTATTCTTTTTTCAGGGTTGTTTTTAAATTTCCTGGTCAAACACACACTTGTATGCATCCTTTGTAATGTTTTATCAATCTGTTGTAATAAAATCCATCTTGAAATCTAATGCTGGTTTTTCCTGACACGCGTGGAGGTGAGTCAAAGGTTTGTACTGGTGGTGAACTTTTACGCTGTTCAGTGACAGGATTTCATTAGGTCTGTTTTTTTGTTTTTTTTTTTTGTTCCTCATCCACCGCCCATTTTCTTCTATATGTTCAGAATAACCCCCAAATTCCACTACCTCCGCTCCGGTCCGCAACCGACTTCCGCAGCCGCTCACTTCCGAACTCAATTTTTACTGGTACCCGCTCTACAACGGCTCCGCTCCGGTGCGGAGACCTGAGGTGGGCAAACAAGCATGCGCGGGATTTTCGAGATCTTGCGATACAGTCCGAGCAATAAACGCGGAAGTTAGATCCAAACACCCGTTGTGTGGGAGAAGCATCGGCATGAACTGTTTAATCTGCCCATCATTTGTGTTGAGAGATCAGCAGTGTTTGGATCAACTAAGTGTGACTACTTTGATAGTAGAAACTGTATTTATGGCTTATTTTTGTGCATTTAAACTTCAGCCGCCATTGATAGTTGTTAAAAGTTGTTAAACCTGTGCATATGAAACAAAAAACGCCTTTTGTTTATCGATTTATTGTGAAATAACAGAAGTTGTGCTTGCTCCTTTTCCTGTTGGCCGGTTGTGATTCCTGTCCATTTACTGCGGAGGTGCTCCGGCGTCCGGCAAAAATAGGATCGATCCTATTTTTGCCGGAACAGAGGGCGGCGCACAGCGCCGCACTGCCGCAGTAGTGGAATTGCTCTGATTGGCTACAACGGGACCGATTTTGCTCCGGAGTTCGTGCCGGAGCGGAGGTAGTGGAATTTGGGGGTAAATTTGACATTTTCCTAAATGATATAAGCATAAACCCCAACCGGGACTGATGAAATGGATTTTAAGTTAAAGTTTAGTCTTCGTTGAGATGCATCCCAGAGGACGTACACAGCTCTCCAACATGCATGAATGCTACAATGAGAGAAAATCAAAACTCGCCCAACAATACAGCAGGTTTGAATTCAAACCGGAGCTTCTGATTCTTTAATTTTTTTGAAAAGCGTCATTTTTACAGTTCATTTTCCTTGTGATTGACGCAAAACGAGCTAGAGGCTGGAGCTTTGCCTAGGAGGTCCTTACAGGCACATCCAGGTTGGAGTTAACCAAAAGGGTGTTTTGGTTTTTCTCCTCTGCGGTGCCAGTCTTTTATTGTTGGGTGATTTTACATTTTATTCATCATTTTTATTACCATCTGTCAGTCATCAGCGTCATCCTCCATGTCCCTGTGGAGGAGATTGTTCTGTAGAAGACGATCTCCAAGGACAGTCAAGTCAACAGAAACACAAACGTGTTAGAAAGTCATGCAGGAAGTGCTTGTAGGTATTAGTGTTGTCTGGCTGAATCACTTACTGCTCTGTATTTGTTTTTGTTGTCTGTAGCCCATCCATATGAGCTTTTCAGCCTTAAAACCCAGTCAGCTGGCATGACAGGTCAGTTAAACCCTGTAAGTACCTGATGTTCATTCCAGTGTGGATCTGTCTCGTGCAGATGGATGCTAGGCCAACTATCATGTGTTAGCTAAAGTATGTTGTTTCACTGAGACGGTTCAGGATAAAATTATTAGCCCCTCTCCGATCACAATGTTTAAATGCATTTCCCCAAGTGGTGAAACGGCAGCGTGAACATGGCTTCTTCTCACGTCGGTTTCATTTTTGGATCACTGCGGTACTTCACCACAGAACCGATTATTCCACACAATCTACCACGGTCAAAATTGTGACCCGCACAGTAAAGCTAAGCTGTGAGATCTTTCCTGTAGTCGTTTAGTTTCCCAACACTATCCTGAGGAATCCCAGCCTGTTCTTTTACAACACTGCTCTGATTTGATGGCCTTTTGGTGAGAACTTAGTCTCCATGTCATCTCAAAGATTTCCAGTTAGGTTTAAGTTGGAACTTTGGGCAGGCTGGTCATCAGTCCCAGTTACTGGAGTATCCCTACAGCATGATACATCCCCCTCCGTGTTTTGCTGTGGTAGCAGTGATTTTCAGCAGCGGTGTCTCGGGTCAAAACGCTCCAGTTTCCTCATACCTCCAGTATACAGTACCTTTTCTTCCAGGTTGTCCCAAATGCTTCTGTACAGAATTGGAGTTGTCTGACTGAATCCTGTCCGACTATTCCTGAGTTCCACTGATCGTCGTCTTTAAAGACTCAAGTTCCCAGCTTGTCAGAGTTCTTCCCTCGTGTCTTGGCAGTTGTTGTGGGGACACATCCCTAGTTTAGTTTCTCATGATACATCTCACTTTAGTTTTTGAAACTTAAAAAGGTGATAAGTTTGTACCTCAACAAACCTGATTTATTAAAAAATTAGGCCCGATGCTTTCTCGGTGACCCTAACCCATTCAGAAAAACCTCATTGTAACTCGTTTTTAGAAACTTAAGTAACTGGTACGTGATTTGTGCCAGAGCACATAAAAAAGCTCAGTTATTATGGCGGTTAATCATTTTTACCGTGGTAGGTTTGCTGTGTGGAAAAGTAAAATAAGTTAGTTCTGTGGTTAACGTCACTTAGGACAGAATAGTGAAATATTCATGGGGTTGCTAATAATTTTCTCCAACTGTATTGGCTTTACTGAAAACAGACTGAAACGTGTGTGAAGTTTGAATCCCTTCACACGGGTCCTGTCTGGTCCGACATCAGCTAACATGGTAAGTAGAAGGAATCCGAGTTCCTGTTGAGGCTCATGCTGAATTCTCAGGTGGTGGTTCAGAGAACGTCCACACCCTCAGGAGGTCCAGCTGGGTTTTTGTCTGTTTTATATTTTTCTCCTGGTAAAGGTGGAACTAAATGACGAATACTGGTTTTCTGCTGTTTGTCCTTAAAACTGGTTAAATGATTTTGGCCTCCCAGTTTGCATAAGCAAGGACATTTTATGTCAACTGTGGTTCCAGTGAACCCACAGTCTTAAAAAAGGATTTAGTGTAATGCCTGCATTATGGAACAAGTAGAATAGAAATATGCAAAAACCCGCTGGAGATGGAGAAGTGGGTTTTTATCTGGATGGTGTTTAAAGGTTTCATGTTTCTGGTTTTCTTATGTTTGATCTGAAGTAAACATTTCGATGTTTCCATGTTTATGTTGAAAAGTAAGCGCTGTTCTGTAGAAAAACACTGATGTTTGAATACAAACGGGACAACAATGTCAAGTTTATTAAAACTTTCAAAATAAAAGTTGTTGCGCTAATTTACCCTTTGTCTTTTTTCACCTGAATTGCAATATTCTGTGTGGTTTCTGCTGGTATTCGGACACTAATGTGCCTTCTAGTGGCACATTAAAGCTATTACAGGTAGCACTACTATTGACAGTTTGGAGAACTGTGAAATGTGAACATTTTAATAATGGTTTTAGATTAATTGAAACTAAAAATTAGAGATTTGACAGATGGTGGAAGAACCGGCCTGAGAACTGGTACCCATTTGGTACCAGGCCACTGAAAGGATAAAAACCTCTACATTCATATTCCCTTTTTAGATTTAAATTGTTCTGCATGCTGCTTTTTAAATGTGTAAACACTGATTTCTGTTCACTGGTTTAACTTCTTACTCAACGGGGATGGTTGAAATCCTTTAAAATGCTTGATTGTTTTGGAAGTGCTTGCATTTTAAATAAAATGCCTGAAATTGTCAGCAATTATAAAATAAATGTATGAGACTACTAGGAATCAAATGTTGCTTGGAACAAACAGAGTATATGTACATTATCACCAATACCAGATGCTAGAAAACACCTCTAAAGGGTTCCAAATAAATGAAATGCTTACATTTTACATTGTAAAAACTACTTAAAAATTAAATTATTTAACAACTTGGAATTATTATCCCTGCATGTGTGTCAATATAAAAACATGGTGTCAGTAAAACTGTTCTTTTATAATTCATTTCAAAAATACTTTATTAATCCCAGAGGGAAATTGATTGCTGTAGTAGCTCAGAATAATAATAATCAAGTCATCAAAGAGTTGTTGTATATTACAATGGCTGTTGGCAGGAAGGATCTCCAGTAGCGGTCAGTGTTGCAGCCAAACTGAAGAAGCCTCTGACTGAAGACACTCTTCCGTTGTCGGACAGTCTTGTGAAGAGAATGCTCAGGGTTGTCCATCATTTTGTTGATTCTCTGGAGAATCCTTCTTTGCATCATCTCCTCCAGCGGTTCCACAGTCATCCCCAGAACAGAACCAGCCTTTTTTATTAGGCTGTTGATTCTTTTCAGGTCCCTGCTTCTGATGCTGCTACCCCAACAGACGATGGCTGAAGAGATTACACTCTCAACAACAGACTTGTAGAAGATCTGCAGCATCTTGCTACAGACACTGAAGGACCAAAGCATCCTCAAGAAGTGCAGTCTGCTGTGTCCCTTCTTGTAAACAGCCTCGCTGTTCTTTCTCCAGTCCAGTCTGTTGTCCAAGTGAACTCCAAGGTATTTGTATTCCTCAACCACCTCCACTTCTTCTCCCATGATGGAAACAGTGTTGGACTCCACCCTGTTTCTTCTGAAGTCTAAAATCATCTCCTTTGTTTTGTTCACATTCAAGGTCAGATGATTGTTTCCACACCATGCCACAAAACGCTCTACCAGCTCTCTGTTCTCAGCAATGTGATAAAACTGAACAGGAAGTTCAGCATCTCTGTGAAAAGAGTACCATACTTACAGTGGGGCAAAAAAGTATTTTGTCAGCCACCGATTGTGCAAGTTCTCCCACTTAAAATGATGACAGAGGTCAGTAATTTTCATCATAGGTACACTTCAACTGTGAGAGACAGAATGTGAAAAAAAATCCATGAATTCACATGGCAGGATTTTTAAATAATTTATATGTAAATCAGGGTGGAAAATAAGTTTTTGGTCACTTCAAACAAGGAAAATCGCTGGCTCTCACAGACCTGTAACGTCTTCTTTAAGAAGCTTTTCTGTCCTCCACTCGTTACCTGTATTAATGGCACCTGTTTGAACACATTATCTGTA